ATATTCCATGTACTTAACAAGATTCATTCATATTGAATCGGATCAGATAATGCTAACAGCCCTCCGACCCTTTAAGACCTTTTTTCAGATTGAGTTGAATTTAATGGCACAGAGATCAAGGGGCAAAAATCCACCTAGAAATTCTTTGCCAAGCAGAGGAAGCAGTCGCTTCCAGCGCCAGATTTTAGGGGCTCAAAATGTTTTTAAATTCAAGCAACTAATTATCTCTTTAATTCATTTCAAAAGTTATATAAAAATACAGGGTGTCCCATGACGTTTTACCCAGGTGATAACTTTGGGACGCGTCATTCATTGTAATTGAAATTTTAAGGATCTGGGTAACTTTTAATGCTGCCGCTTCTACATGTGTCATCCAATGTTACCAATTTCGCTTTAGTTTCGGTAAAGTGACGGCAACTTTGGAATCTTAAATGTAACATATGGTATATAATGGCTTTTTCGTTAAAAAAAAAATGATACACAATTACAAAGTGGAACATTCGATGACGCGTTCCGAAGTGATTACCTGGGTGAAACCTCGTGGGACACCCTGTATATTTCGACAATTTGGTGAACGTTAACTAACTCGTTTTTTGTAGTGCTTTGTTTCTCAATAAGGAAATACTTTTTTTTTCAGTAGGTATAGGTAGGTACGTGAAATTACTCAAACACGGTTAGTGTCAGTAAGTTTCCAAAAAATTTTGCTGTTGGAACTTTTTTGTTCATCCTCCTTGGCAAGGGCGAAGGGCGTCAAAAATTGTTCTGCTTCTAGCGCCAAATATCCTAAATCCGCCTTTTGGAATTTGGAGGAACTTATCATAAATTGGAGAAATTTATGAGGATTTGAAGGCTTTTATAGGTAATTTGGAGGAATTTATTGGAAATTGTTCACATTCTTATCAAAAGAGACACTAATTGCAAATCAAAAAACAAATAGGTACATAAAGTTTTGTGTTGGACGTTGGACATTCATTTCCATTAAATTTGAAATTCTCCCAAAATTTCACTTCATGATTTACAACAGGACCAAATTTAAAAAAATGGAAAAAATGATGTCTTCAATTTTTATTAAAATGAAGAATATGAAAATTTCAATAATTAACTGTCAAGCAAATGGATCGACTTAGACTTGAATGGATTTGAATGCTACATTCAATATACCCTTCATATTGAGGCCAAATTAGGAAACTGAGAAAAAAATTATCGGCCATTGGAGAATGGATATAAATCTCATTGAAAATGACCCAGATGAGTGCAAAGGAACTTTACTTGAAATTGATGCAAGATTATATCTTATAGCTTCAAATATGGAAAAAAGGCTGCGAACGTTGAAAAAAGGGTGTATTTTCAATTTTTTTAAAAAGGAATTAGACAAATTTGTATGGCCTACTGAGGAAAACCACCTATTTAAAATATTATTTCTTTAAATCTTAACTTTAAAAAAAAACGTTTACTGAATAAAAGTAAATATTGCAACCATGTACTGCGCCACGAAGTTTAGTTTTAGGGGAGAACGAGAGTACCGAACCGAACTGGAGGTAGAGAAGAGGTGATTAGGTATTAGACTAGAGAACAAGCTGGGACTGGTCCATTGGACGCGTGTCGCGTGTCTGTAATTATTCATTATTCAATTTTTTTTTTTTTATTGTTCAATCCAATTTGTTATTAGTGTGTGTGTCAAGGAGCGATCACCCGGTCAGTTAGATCATTATTATTTTGTTTGTAAGAGTTCAATTTATATAAGTATCATTTTTTCATTTTTATGTAATTTTTTTGTTTGTTTCCAACATTTTTTATAACATGTGCATTGTTCATGTATTTAACAAAAATCCTTTCATGCTGTAAACAAAAGCGATAAAGATTAAATTAAAACCTAAGAAATTATGTGCTGTCTTTTTGTGCTGAGATTTCGATTTTGTTTATTCAGAGCGTGTATTAGGGCCTTGTTGAATTTACTAACATTTTCCCACCCTGACGAGAGAATATCCTAACAAATTGAAATAATCAATCTAGAAATATTGGCTCAAAAACAACTATAGCTGTGAGTTACCGTAACCAGGGACCTCAGTACCTGCTACAGATGGGCTAACTAACCAAAAACTCTCCAGTATTAAATATAGGTAGTGTGTGTAATTGAAATTTTAGCACAAGAACAGGAGCGGTACCTAATTTAAACTTTTATTGACGTAAATTATTGAATTATTGTCTCACAATTATAATTAAAATGACACAGTATGTTTCGATTTTTGAGGAATGTAGATCGACAGTTTCACTGCCGTGCTCTTTCCCCTCGTTAGTTCCAGGATGAGAACGGTACGATTTACTTTAATAATAAAGTAGACGTTTCACAAATTTTTAGTTTCATTAACATATCACGACTTCCCTTAAATTTCCCAAATATTTGCTATGTCGGACGCAAGTCCAGTGAGTAGTAAAATTGAGTAAGTTCCCACAAAGTAGGTCCTATTTGTTTTTCATTTCATGTTTCAGAAGATTTGTTGTTTAAAAGGTGATAAAAATTCTCATCGTTCAATCTTACTGAATGAACCTGGGTATGTTATACTACACTACTCAGCATGACTACGCCGACTGCCGAGGTTCAGATTAAATTTATTTTTTATGTTCCTGTTGAGCTTAGGAATAGGGCAATTTAAAATAAAAAACAATATACCTACATAGGTACTTACCCCCAATATTTTGAAACAATATACATACCTGAGTTGTTTAAAAATTAGCTACATGTGTATTATACTTGGTATTATACAATATTATATTTGTTTTAATTTTCTAAAAAGGTTTTTTTTATCAATTAGGTAATAATATCAAATGCAGGTTTTGATTAGTTTAACCCCCTGCATTCTGGATTACCGAAAACTAGTCATTAGCTCTAGCTCTAAAGTTAATTAATGTAACCTTGCATTATTTGATCGTAATCTCGATCCTACTTGATAAACTGATCATATGTTTCAACACTAAGCAAAATAAAAATAAAAAAATAAATTTTCTATCACAAGCAATTATGGGGATTTTCAGGGAATTTGTACGAGGCATTTGTGGGGAATTTGCCAGGAGTTTGGAGGAATTTGCGAGAACAGTCACAACTTTAAATAATGTGATGTAAATGTGGAAAACGGGCGTTTTAAAAACGAATAAAGACGTTTTTCAAAAGTCGTTAAGAACATATCCACTGGGTGCCCTTAAAGTATCCAAGAACCTCCAATTCCAATAGACTTTTTTTATAGTGCAAATGTCACAGTTAAAAGCAACTTTACAAAGAACATGTAGACGTCGACAATTGATGTTTTAAAAACGTCCTAAAGTTGAGACGAATTAATTTCCGACGTCCATTAATACAATTATTTGAAATACATATACATGCTTTTAATGGTGTCCGCGAAATGAACTTTCGCGGCCGCTATTATACATAAGTAGGTGTCAAAATTCAATTTCGCGGCTGCCACACCTGACGTGCAAAATGTGTCAAATCCATACAGTTTTTCTGCAACTTTACATAATTTTTATAGTTGCACAAAAAATAGCCTATAATACCATGGCCGCGAAACTTTATCAGTGCAGTGTAGGATCCACAACGAATACCAGAACCAGTTTACCAGGTCAATTATCATTCACTTTACTACTGTTGGTGCATTATGCATTATGTAAGCACCAAGCACTAAGTATGATCCACTTAAATCCACTATGTATTGTAAATCAGCTAGAATCCATAGTAGGTATTCAATGTTTAGCCGATATTTTTTTAATATCAATTCATCTATTTACTTATTTTCGATTTTTGTAATACTCCAACGTCAAAAATAATGAGAGCTGAACGAATGATATAAAATATTACCCAAGTCTTGCAAGACACTTAAAAGTTTGGCTAGTCTAATTTGGGCGAAAGAAATTCCAAGCCTCAAAATGTTCGTGGATTTGGACAACTTTTTTTTTTGTTTTTTTTTTTGATTTTCTGTATATTTTTTTGATTACGTGTATTTTCTAGGTATTTGTTTTACATCTTCAATTCGTCCCAAGTATCTTTCATGACTTTCCATGATAACATACTTTTACGAACCTATAGAAAACGTTTTTTAATTGTTCCTACCAGAGGTTTCTGAAGAAAACAACGAGAAAACTTCAACCAAAGATCTAAAAAGAACGACCTTTTTGCTGAAATATTAAAAGTATTCTTATGCAGTGATACAAGAAATTTAGTCGACTCCCCTAGTATAGGTTCCGCATAAATTTAGAAATGCCCAGAATAAATGAATGGACTTTTTTCTATAGAAACCTGTTCAAAAGTAAAAATCAGAATTCGTAAAAGTCAATAATTGGTAGTGGTTTCCAAGGCAATACGTAAAACATTGTAGGTCAGCTTGATGAATTATGAATTAAATAGAGCGGGCTAGCACTTTAAGTTATTTTCCCTACGAGCGTGCGGTAAAGTGCACTTTACCGTACGTATTTGCAAATGGAAAGTATCACTTTACCGCACACTATGCGGTAAAGTGCACTTTACCGCATAGTGTGCGGTAAAGTAGAATTTGATATTTATAATCAAAAATCCTCTCTTTTTCAGAAAATGGATTTTTGATCATTTCTTAATCTTATCTAATTTCATTAATTAATCTGATTCATTAATTAATTTTATCAATGCCTTTTTTTTGGAGATTTAGATGCTCATAGGTAAAATTTTGTACCTAACACATGCGGAAAGTGCCTTTACCGCCCTTAACGGCTTGACCGCAACTGCCGTTGCGTGCGGTAAAGTATCACTTTCCGCATTTGTTAGGTAAATAACTATTTCAAGTGCCTGAGTATTCGCATAGTTATTCAGAAATTCTATCTTAATCTGCTAGTTAAGTATCACAGTTATCAATGTTTTGATGAGTTTCTGATGGTATTAAAATTCATCAAATACGTACTTTGTCTTTAGGTATTTCTCTTTGATAAATTGCCAAACACGATTACAAACTACCCTCAAATAAAGTTCAAATTTATACCTTTCTGCCATAATATTATCACATTCATCTTGTCCCGGTAACGACATCACATGAGGTATCAGAACTTGATCATTGTTTCCCTCCATTTTGATTACAACAGCAGGCGCGGAATTCGGGGGTGCCACCCCCCTTTCTAGCGTTCCTTCGGGAGTGTGCATTTTCGTCGATCAGGACTGAAACAAACCAAAAATGTATTTGTATTTTCAATTATTTAAACATTTTTTTTTATAAAATGTAGCCAATTAAAGCTGTTAAAAACATCTGATCTAAATTCAATCGATCAAAAGTTGTTTTTCCTGTTTTGTCCTTTACATCATTTGAACAGCCAACGTTAATATTGCAATAACCGTCTACTTTTAGTTGCAACAATTTGGTTTTGCAATATTTTTGTCTGCGGTGCATCATCTACTATATTGATTTATTAGGGGAATTTTTATGTATAAGCAAGATTATTAAGGAAAATTAAAAAACACTCAAAAACAAAAAAATTGAGTAGGAGTAGGAGTCAAAATTATATAGTTGATGTAAGTATTTTGATTTGCCGGGATTTTTTTTTCTCCAAAATAGGATTTCAGTGACCTTTTCATTTTAATTAAAAAAATAGTTCTGAATATTGCTTAAAATTATTATTTTTTTCATAAAAATCACACAGACCTTTAAACTTCAAATCAATTTTTAGTTAAACTTCGTCATTGCAAGAACGTGCCAAAGAAGGTAATCCATTTGCGAGCACTAACTTTTACCGACAAAAAAAATATTGCACTTTCACGACACCCGCCTATTCATTCAGACACACTAAACACAGGTACATTCTAACATAGTCAAAAAATCACTTCACCCTCCGCAAAAATATACGGCTCGAAGGACCAAAATCAAAAACGGGAAAAGAAAAAGGACGATCTCCGGACGGCGCAAACGAATATAGCGCACGCTTCCCAGAATACTCCTCGTTCGATACTAAATCGTGGTCCCACACACCATGATGGCCGACGTCCATCGGACCAAGAAGAAGTTCGTTCGATTCGACAATCTAGCTAACCCAAGAGCAGTTGTATCTAAGAAATCATATAACATTTTAACAATCCAACTCGGGCTTTTGTGTTAAACGAACGCGATCTTTTTATAAGGTAGGGGCCACTGGACTGAAAAGAGATGGTTAAGATAAAAGAGTGAATACGGAGCTGTGCGTACTATGGGACTAATGGGTGGATGGTAGGGTTTCTTTTGTTCGTGGTATAAATGGTTGGATTGCTACAAACAAACTTTACATTACGGTTTTCATTATTGGTTTTGATTTGACACGCTTATGATGATGTCAAATCTTAATACACAAGGCTTCGAGAAAAGACTCTTTTCTCGAAGCCTTGTCCGAAGGACCATTATAAAAAAAACGGGACCAGTGTATTTCTATCATCTGAATTAAAAAGGGAGAATTTTTATTTTATTTTTTTCATAGGCTCAAACAAGAAGTAGGTTCAAAGAGAAACAAATATTAACAGAATTATTATAAGATTTTAGGATAATAATTGTAGGAGTGCTATACAAATTATACATATACATACACTACGTTCTTTTTCGTCGGTTTTCATCGCCGCGATGAAACACGTCGTTCCAAAACCGAAGTGTGTGGTAGAAAAACACGACGGTTTTCTACCACACACTTCGGTTTTGGAACGACGTGTTTCATCGTGGCGATGAAAACCGACGAGAAAGAACGTAGTGTATGGGGCCCTTAAGTGATACTGACAGGGCTATAGACACTAATGTGAAATTTTTTTGGAACTTTATTCGTTCCCAAATCCCAATCTAATCAGGGTACTATTCCTAGTCTTTAGGACCTGATGCTATTCCTAACAGAGTACTAAAATCTTGTTCTAAGATTTTGTATTTCCCTCTAGTTAATATTTTCAACAAATCCTTAACTTCTGGAATTTTTCCAGAAACGTGGAAGCTCTCTTATGTTTGTCCTATTCACAAGTCAGGCAGCAAGAATAATGTAACACATTACAGACCTATCAGCATCCTGTAATCCTATTTGCAATTCCTATACATTACTTGAGCAGGTAATGCGTTGAAAAAATCCTTTCAAAAAGACTTAAGTAGATAGAGCCTTTGATATAGTAAACCACAACATCCTCTTCTTTTAAAGCTCTCAAGTTATGGTATTTCTGAACTTTTACTTTCCTACTTACTATTCAGTCCTGTTGATAGAATATCTGCCATGTAAATAAGTTGTATGAGGGTCTTGACGTCATTGGTCTTGACGTCATTGGTCTTGACTTCCTTTGCTTATCTCAAGATAAATTTAAGACACAGGCCAAGAGAATTTTTTTAGATCATTTTAGATTTAAATTCTGTACAACTTCGAATGTATCACACTTCATATGCGTAGGTGCGCGAATTGGAACCTATTTATCGTCTTTTTAGTTAAAGTCAGCATCTCCGTACCTTAAAAGTCTAGGGGTCTGTCAGCACAGGTAGGACAGTCTGAACGAAGAGTTTTCTTTTTGAACATAATTCGTATATCCGGTCTAATGATATTTGTTCTAAATTTCCAAATGCTGCCCAATTAACTGTTAAGCTCAACCTTCCTTTGAAACTCACTGGTTTCATTGTCTCAACTCAAACGCGAATTTTCTATCCTAGTTATTTATTTATTTATTTTAAGTGTACAACTTCTTCTTTTTCAGCCATTTCCTATCCACTCCTAAACAAAGGCCTCTTTCATTTGTTTCCATGCTGTTCTGTCTTCCGCTGTATGGTACCAACTTCCTCCTGCTATTCTTTTAATATCATCCAACCATCTCTTCTGTGGCCTGCCGACGATCTTCTTTGTATGACGTGGTTTCCAGTGTACAAGTTTTGCTATCCATCTGTCCACACCCAGTCTGGCAACATGCCCAACCCATTGCCACTTAAGCTCAGCGATTCGCTGTATTATGTCCACTACCTTCGTCCTCCTTCTTATTTCTTCGTTACGAATTTTATCTGGTAAACTAACGCCAAGCATTGCCCGTTCCATGTTCCTTTGCATTGTCCTAAGGTTGTTGGTGTACTTCTGGGTTAAAGCCTCTGTCTCAAAACCATATGTTGCGACAGGCAGGATGCATATGTTAAAGACTTTTCGTTTAAGGTTTATAGGAATGTCAGAATTTCTCACTATATGACTCAGTTTTCCAAATGATCCATGTCAGTTTTATTCTTCGTTCTATCTCCGCCGTTTGGTTTTCCTTTCCCATTTTAATGACATGACCCAGATATTCACCAACATTATCCAAAGTTTTGTCTGCTATTCTTATGTTTTCCTTAGACCTGCTCATTATTTTTGTTTTTGATAATTTCATTTTTGATCCGACGTTATTTGAAACTTCGTTAGTTCTAACATGTTCTTAAGCTACTGGATATCTGAACAATAATAAGCACTATGTCATCGGCAAAGCGTAAATGGTTTAAAAACGTACCATCAACGTTGACACCTTTATCTTCCCACGGAAGCATTTTAAAAACGTCTTCCAAGGCCAACGTAAAAAGTTTTGGAAATATAGAATCACCCTGGCGAACTCTCCTGTTAATTGAAATTTTTTCGGTTCTCAGAGGTCTTCCGAAATTTTCACACGGAAAGTTGCGTTTCTGTATACCTATATTCTCAAGAAGGGTAGAATATCTTGGATCAATCCTTGCTCCATCAATCGCACACAGGACAGTTCATGTTTCAGTAGAGTCAAATGCCTTATCAAAGTCTATAAAGGCGAAATGAAGTGGTATATTGTATTCTGTTGTTTTCTCTATTAACATTTGAATGGTCTGTAGACTGTAGGTGATCCATAGTGCTGTATCTCTTTCGAAATCCTGCCTGCTCCACTGGTTGATAGGCATCTAATTTAGTTGTCAGTCGGTTTGTAAGGATCCTTGTTACTAGTTTGTAAAGGTGGGTTAGAAGGTTGATACATCGATAATTTTCAATGTCCGTGATGTTGCCTTTTTTAAAAAGCAGAATAACTTCTGCGTTGTGCCATGTTTCAGGGATATTGCCTTCAGATAAACATTTATTAAATAACACCTGTAGAATTTGTTCCATAAAGTCTTCGCCCATTTTTAGCATTTCACAGGTTATTCTGTCTTCCCTAGGTGATTTACGGTTCTTCATTTGTCCTAGTGCCACGTTATTTCCTCTTTGGTAAGGTATATCAGGAATTACTTCTGAGCCTAAATTGCAAACGGTAACTTTCTGAGTATTAGGATCCCGCACAACAGAGGTGTATAGACGAGAATAAAAGATTTCTATATGTTTAGAGATTTCGTCTGTTCCAGTCAATTTATGGTTATTCTCATCCTTCATTTTAAAATTCTGCTTTTTCCAAGCGAAAGTCTCGATCTAAGAACTTTCATGTTAAAGTTGTCCTCAATTCCGGTTTGAATTGTTCTGGTATTATAGGATCTCACATCCCTCTGTATTCTCTTGTTGAGCTCCCGGTACTCAGTTGCATCTCTGGAAGTTGTTTTCCTTTCTTTTATAAGTTTTAGTGTGTTTGGCATTATCTTATTGTCTCTTGGTGTTTTAACTTTAGGAGAAATTTTCTTAGTTATTGTGTGGATGTCATTGCTTATTTTCTCGGCGAGATGATTCAAGCTCCATGTATATGGATGGGCTTAAATTTCTTCTCCAACTCTTTTCGAAAAGCCTCTTTATGGACGTCTATTTCGTTTGCAGTTGGAAAAATATGCCTATTGAAAAGTTTTGCTCTTTCAATTCTCAGGTTTAGGGAAGTTGTAGCTCAATCAAGGAACATGTCACCGCGTTCGTTGCGTCTTCCTAAACCGAACCTTCCAATATTATCTGGATCTCCCTCCATTTTCTCTCCGAGTTTTTAGACTGTGAGATAGAGGCTGTTTAGTGGAGTCATTTTTTTTTTGTCTGGCATTTTGAGGGCTGAATGTGGCTACTAAGCTGATGAGAATATGAGTGATTTTAATGCCTGCCTCCCGTTCGAAAATTTGCAGAAGAAAAAAATTGATTTACATGAGGAATTTTTTTCAATGATCTCAAATTTTTTGGCTTCTAAATAAAAGATTGACATTGATAAATAATTCACCCATGAAAAATACCAGATGCTTTTCAATAGCTGAAAAAGTGGGGATGAGTGTCAACTTCCAAGAGAAAAGAAAAGAACCTTCCGCGTTTACTTTTTGTCTGGTAATCGAGAGCATGGAAGGTTTTGTTGTGAAAATATCGCTGGAAAATCGCCAGACGGTAGTTCCAGTTCATCTTTTCTTTAGTCGGAGCAACACGTGAATAGCTCTTTTTAAGACCAACGGGACAACTTTTTTATCAACAAGAATGGCGATACCTCCAACCCCGCGATTACTGTCTGAGTTGTTTTTAGTTTTGATAAAGCAGATGGCCTGATCTCAATAGAGTGCTCCCTGTAGCAGTGTCTCGCTCGAACCAAGTATAACCCATTTGATATATTCAAGTTCTTTCTTTAAATGCTCAAGACGTTCAGGAGTACTCATTGTTCTTACATTATATGATGCTATATATAGTTTGGTTTGGTTGTGACTCTGTTTGCTTTTATCGCTTTTATCGGAAAAATCGAATTTTTGCCTTCCTCAGAATCCACGAGGCAACCTGAATTATCTTCAGCATGAGATTCTGTGCAAGAAGTACTACTCACCTTAGGTATTATCGTATTTAAATTCGAAATCAGAATTTTAACTTTAAAAGGTTTTGGCATTTAAAACGCCGCGCTTGCCTAACGTGTTGGCGAGTGGGATTGAGTCTTGCATTTCCTCGACTATCCGTTTATACAGTAAGACCGCTGTTACTCAATCGTCAGAGCCTCGTTGGTTTTCTAGCAGGATGCACTGGATAGCCAGATAGCTACCACACGAACAGGTGAGGTTGACATTTGGCCAGGTTTCTTCTTTACCTTCGACCCTTACACCCTCTGA